AATCGCAAACTATGTACTAAATACTTATTTAAAATAAGTACGAGATATTTCCTTATCTTTCTTCAGGAAATAACTTTTTTGCCACAAAAAAAAAACGCTCCAATATCTATTTTCAAGAACAAAATGATAAACAAACCAAGGGCGTAGTGAAGAAAAACATTTACTTATTAAGTAAATTCTTTTAGTCAAATTTCTTCTGAAAGTAGTACAAACTAATCTGATGTACCTATTAAAGTCTACTTTGAGCTTTAAATCAATAAATCTTCAAAACTACCGAACTGAAGCTCATGTATTTTGCATCATTATAAAGCGAATTGGAAGACCTTTAAAATAAGGTATCACTCGACCCCCCTTTCCATTAAAGATTTTAGGGTTGGTGTCACCCCCGCCCAGATGGCTGCACGTGTTAACGTGATTTTTTGCCAATATTTATGAGAACAATGAAGTAGTGGACATAATACTAAAATACGAAGAGTGTCAACAAAATGCAGCCGCAGCATGCAGGTTGTATGCGGAAAGGTTTCCTTCAAGAAATCATCCGGCCCCACGGATGTTCGTAAATCCAGTTTTCAGACTTCGTGACACATCATATTTAAAACAACAACGAAGATGTCACGCTGGAATACCTTAGATTTTCTTCGTCACAATGTGCCTCAACTACACTGGACAACAAATTTTAGTTTTTTAATTGTATCTTGTGGGAAAAGTGCACTTCTTTGATAATTTTGGGGCGCTGAATCCAAAAATGACAATGAAATAAAAAAATTAGTTGCGGTTTAGAAAAAAAACTTTTTATTTTTAAGGATATGTTAAAAAAAGTAACAAGATTCATATACTTATAAGAATCACTATATGCGCTGTCTTTTTGCTGTTCTTTTATGGATCGTTTCTGGAGCATCTCTACCAAGAGTCCAACAGCAGTCTGCAAGCATGGAAGGATTCCACTTTCCCTGGTACCTTTTTTCCATTGTTGAAATATCCTGATGAAAACGTTCGCCGTGCTCATCACTTACGGCTCCGCAATTGTCAGGAAAAAAGTCCAGGTGTGAGTGTAGGAAATGTATCTTAAGAGACATATTACAGCCCATCTTTTGATACGATGACTGCATATTTTTGACAAAGGTTTTATAGTTGTCAGCTTTTCTATTTCCCAAGAAATTAGTGACCACCAGACGGAAATCATTCCAAGCAGTTTTTTCAATACCTGTTAAAGTGTTTTCAAACTGTGTATCTTTCAAAATATTTCGAATCTGTGGCCCAACAAAAATACCTTCTTTAACCTTTGCCTCACTTAGTCTTGGATATCTCTGACGCAAGTATTGAAAAGCTGACACATCTCTATCTAATGCCATGTGACAAAGTTTTTCATTAGGCCCAACTTGATATGCAGTGGTGGTAATAAAATTTTTTTTCGAATCTACTAATGGCAATACATTTTTTTGACCTGGCTCTAGGAATTGACGAACAGGCCAGTTTTGTTTGGTGTAATGAAGTGCCTTTGCCCGACTGTCACATTCACACAAAAAACAGCAAAACTTTGTGTAGCCTAGCTGCAGCCCAAGTAAAAGTGCAACAACTTTCAAATCGCTACAAATATGCCATTGGTGCTCAACGTATTTTATGCATGTCAATAGGTACTTCATATTGTCATATGATTCTTTCATGTGAACTGCTATACCCTACAGGAAGAGATGGTAAAATATTTCCAATATGCAATAACACTGCCTTTAAACTCAATGTTGAACTGTCTATAAACAATCTCCATTCTTCTGGGTTATAGTTTATATTTAAAGCCGCCAGTAAGCCGTTAATGTTACTGCAGAAAACCAAGTTATTCTCCATATTGAAAAATGGTTCTAAGTCTTTGTGGCGTTTACGAAAAACACATACCGAAACATCGTCTTCTAACAAGTTCCACTGCTGCAGTCTTGATCCAAGTAACTCTGCCTTACATTTTGGAAGTTCTAAATCTCTTACAAGATCATTTAATTCTGACTGTGTTATTTTGTGCGGTTGGTGGCATGACGTGCTCGGTATAAAATCAGGATCTCTTGACGTTGATGGCATATCTTCTTCCTGACGAATCACTGGATCGCCATGATCTGATTCGTTTTCTGATTCGCAAGTGTAGGATTCTGGGGGGTATGGAATAGGATTTTCGTCACTGTGAGGCACAGGTCTCATCGCAGATGGTATGTTTGGGTAGTTAATAACCGATTTTTTTTTCTTGGACATACCTGTGGCTTGTCCAACACAAGGTACCATGCAAAAGTAACGATCATTAATATGATTTGTAGGCTCTCTCCAAACCATTGGGACAGCAAAGCGCATAGACCGTTTTTTGCCATTTAACCAGCTCCTCAGACTTGAAACACATGTATTACAGCAGATGTTGGGTGCCCACTGTTTGTCTTGATCACCTAGTTTACAACCGAAAAGAGCTGATATGCCTTTGTTATTAGTGGAGTAATAGACCGTCTCTGAGACGCAAAAGTCACATCACCACACACGTAACAAAACTAATCTGGATTGTTTACACACTTTCGAGACATCTTGCATGAACGCTGTCAGCCAACTGAGGAAAAAATGGCTAATATAAAACAATATAATGTACACGTATGTATAACGTAACACAATCATGCCGATTACATCATCTTTCCTTGCCGAATATAAAAATGTAGCACGTGCATTCTTGTGAATTACAGTATATTAACACTGTCACAGCAGGAACACATATAATTACCGTATCTCTAAAACTTGAACTAATATTGAAAAAATAAGTTTCATTCCGGTTTTAGCACATTAAAAACAGTAATATTTTGTTAATTTTATTTAGGATATTTTTTGGCTGTTGATCAGTGTTATTAGAAGATTTTCCTGTAAATGTGAGAGAATATTTGGTTCCTACATGAGAAGTTCATGAACATCTAAATAATGAGTTTCCGAATAGATGAATATGACAATGTACCCATTTTTTGGCCTGCTCGCTCACCGGATTTAACGTCTAGCGATTTTTTTCTGTGGTGCTTTAAGAAAGAGTTAAAATGCTTGTGATTTAATTCGTGGACACCAGGATTTTATTTTCGTAGCTTGTAAAGAGTCGTGAATTCGCCGAGCAAGATTTCGCCTTAATCGAAAAAATGGGGACAATTTTGAACAGTCTTTGTTAAAAAACGGTATCCATTTAACTTGAAAATGACTCTTATTACGCAACTTTTATTTAGGTGATTAATGGTATATCAACTTCTTTTGACGAGTTTTACAACCTGTTAAAATTAATGACAACTTTGAAAACACAAATTTTACAGTCACTTCAATACTTGGTTTTGTAATTTTCATGGTATCGTGCTGTTCATTATGCTTGCTGAAGCAATATTGTTTTTATCTTGTCTCTATAGAGCAGATTTTGAGTACCCAACAGCAAAAGTATAACTGGCCAGAGCCGATATAAACAATAAATGCAAATTTCAATTTGTTGTAGTACTTAGCCATATCTTCCTCAATAATCGAGAACGAAACGATTCAATAATTTGCCAAAGACATAATGTGCCATAATTATGCAGAATTTTATCTCTATTACGACTTAGTATCGGCATTAACATGTAATTGAGATAATATAATTAAACGTTTTCTATGAACACTGAAATTGCATCGATATACTGCAGCAAATAGAATTATGATAAATAGGAGTGGCTTTATGTAAGATTCTAGTCAACATGTTTATTGTATTAGTCTGACCGCAGGAATGATGGTATGAGAAATTCACATCTGTAGATAGCTCGTTAATTGCTAGATTGAAAATCCTCGTAGACTCGGGTCCTGAATGAAACCTCATTTGTTTCAATCGATAATTCCAGGCGTAGAAATAATACCAATTGCAAACAGTGATTACCATTGATCTAAAACTTACTTGGTTCTCTATAGAACCGACGAATCCTATACATACTTTGTAATGTCTCTTAGGATAATAAAATAATTTGAATATAAGAATAGGTTGAGATGCTTGATATAGACCATTACATTTTAGTTACTTGAACCGTTGCTATCAACACGTAATTGTTACTTACGTATCTAGGGCGTTAAGTGATCGGTTAGGGCCAGCGTTTATACAACACTCATAAACCCAAAATTGCGCACTCTTTTTCAGCAATTTTGTTATTGACTTAGAATAAAACAGTTTTATAAAAGTTGTTTTATTATCTTAGATGCAGCTTTTTTATTTTGAGTAACAAATAGTTTGCCTTTTATATTATTGCTTTATTACTGCTCCTAGAAAGCAATTCTGTTTCAGTAAAATTGCTGGAAAGACAATTAAGGTTTTGAGGAGAGTATATTTGTATTTATAAGAACGTTCTTAAAGCAAAAACACAAAACAGTTTTACGACAAATTTTAATATTGTTTTCTAAGGGCCGATTTCACCAACATTAATATTATGGACCAATGGGAAAATACCTTATCGAAATGCAATTTGACGGAAGCTGTCAAAGGTCTCTGAATATCAGTGATTTCTATTGAAATATTGAATGAAATGGTGAAAATTCGACTGTATTATAAACAAGACCACTTTTTGATTCCAACATGATGCTTTTGTACAGAGAAAACAGGACAACTTTAATGTATTTTGATATATGTTATAGGTTTACATTTAACAATCCAATATAAAATACATTCCATCCAATTTCCTTTACGTCATAATAGTACCTAATCATTTATTAATTTATGGGTTAATGAATTTCTTCAAAGCAATAAAAACATTATGTCCTCTCCATCCTAAAACACAGATAATATGTGTAAGACGTGTCAATCCCTACATCTCCCTGATGCATAATGCAATTACTATGGACATAGATAGAAAATTATGAAAAATGTTTCACAGATAATGGCTTTTAACCCAGATACCCCTACCGTCCGTTATAACAATCACCTAATATTTAGCTTCAAATTTGAAACTCTGTCACTCCGCGTTAGATGCGTTGGGTTATTCGCTGTTAGAAACACGTGTTTAAGCGAAATTTATTGTTCTAACCTCTTAAAGGGAGAGTTCTGTATGAGAGAAAGTGTTTGGAATAACAGGTGCTTAGTTTGTTGTGAACAATGGATAATTATAGGTGAGTATACTGATAAACTATTCATATTATTTTTCCATCTTGTGAATAAGTAATTTTAGAAAACATTAATCTTTATAATTGTAAACAAATAAGTTAAAAATTTGCATCTCACCGGCAAAAATATAACCTCAAATACCGATGTCCGTTTTAACGGACAGTAGGAAAATACGGTATTATTCGATTTTTTTTTCTTATATTTGCAGTTATTGGAACTATTGGAAGCGGCCCTTGAAACTTCATGAACTCATGACAGAAATTGAAAACACTGATGACGATGAGTTGATTCCTGATACTATTGCCGTTCTACCGCCAGTTAACGCAAATGAATATAACACTGATGAGGATTCCGGCGACGAAAATGAAGTGGATATAAACAACCTCCCTGGAAGTTAGCTGATGACTGAAGTTGAGGTTGTATTTGAAAACAAGGGATCAAACCAAACTACAGTTGAGAGTGATTTTGATAGCGACGATGACCTATCTTTGTCTAACTTTCTTACGAAAAAACGACCAAAATTATCAAAACCAAATTACTCTTGGAAAAAAGGTGACATCAACCAAGATTTTCCAGAATGGGTGAACACAAGTGGTCCAAAAAATTCTTTATCTCCTTTAAAACTATTTTTTAGGTTATAGATGACGAAATTATTGACTTGGTTGTGAAATATTCCAATATATATGCTATTCAGCATAATCGCCGAGGTGATGTACATTCCAGTGAAATAAAATGTTTCATTGGTGTATTACTGCTCTCTGGATACAACTCATTTCCTCGACGGTCAATGTATTGGGAAAATAACAGTGACGCAGGAAATAAGTTAGTCTATTCGGCGCTTTCTCGAGATCGCTTTAGCTTTATAATGCAGAATTTGCACCTGAATGATAACAACAATCTTGAAAATACCGATAAGTTTTCGAAACTGAGGCCCTTGTTTTCTACTCTGAATGAGAAATTTCAGTCATTTGCACCCCTTGAAGAGTGCCATAGCGTGGACGAGTCCACAACTATTATTTCTGAAAAATATCGTCCTCCTGGCTTAGGGGCTAGTGTTGCACTTCAGATTGCTGATATTATTCAGTCTCAATGTGAAAAAGCTCCTTTCCATATCTTTTGTGACAATTTTTTACGTCATTACCTTTGTTAGCTGAGCTCCAGGGGGCTCAAATGCACAGGAACTCTGCGAGAAAACAGACAATCAGATTGCCCTCTTGAAAAATCCAGTATGTTCAAGAAAAAATCCCGTGGTAGTTTTGATTATCTTTTGGACGAGAACCAAAATAATATTGTATGTAAATGAAATGACAATAGTGTTATTACAATCGCCTCAAATATAACATCTCCTTTTCGGACGCAGCAAGTCAAACGCTTCTCTCAGAAAGAAAAGAAAATGATACATGTTTGATCAAACAATACAACGAAAACATGGGCGGTGTTGATAGGGCTGACCAAAATATAAGCCTTTACCGCGTAGGAATCAGGGGAAAGAAGTGGTATTTTTGCTTGTTTTCACATGCTCTGGATATGGCAGAACAAAACGCATGGCAACTTCATAAACATTCTGGCGGAAAAAAGGACCATTTGCAGTTTAGGAGGTGTATTGCTGCGGGATTATTAGAAACTTATAAGAAAGAAACAAAACGGGGACCATCTAAACCAGGCAAATACCTGCATTATGAGTCCAGATATGATCGGATGGATCATCTTGTGAATTATCAGGAAAAGCAAGCAAACCCGCTGCGCATTTTGCCACAAACAAGCAGCATTCAGATGCCAGAAGTGTGATGTTGCACTTCATCCAAAAATGTTTAAGTTACCATACTAAAAACTAATCTATTATTATTGGTTTAAAAATTTTTTTTTGTTTCTAAATATAAGTTCATAAGAATATTGAGTTTTAGTACCTTATATTGCTACCGTACGTTTAAACCGACGGCTTTTACAGAAAAACCTAAAAGCGGAACTAAAAAATTTTACTAGGAAAATATGTTTATATTAACCCAATTAATAGGTTTACAAAAGTATATAACAAAAAACAAATATTAAGAGTTTCAGGGGTATCTGGGTTAAGTCCAAAAATCAAAAAAAAAATAGTAATGTTTATTGTTCGTCTACTTTTCTTTTTTGACTGGCGGGGATATCTATCTGACACTCGCAGGGTTGCCAAGTCAAACGACGATCACGTCCCGTGGTGGAGGATGCGAAATGAATCTTTTACATTTGCTGCTTTTGAATTTTTTTCGTGAAAATTTACTAGGTATCATGATTATAAGCATCTTTGGTAGATTGTTCGATCTGGAATGGGAAAGATCTCCTATTTATGAAAATATTTTTGGTATCATCTAACCGTTGCAATCAGTGCACAAACACTGTGACATGTAGAGCCTGTCAACAATAGTAATTAAAACAAGAATTTTACTAAAAAATCCAACATTTCTTAAAATTTTGACTGAATTATATGTAATTTCTTAATATTCAATAAGCTGGTAATGTTTCAATGACAACTTGTAATCTCATACTTTGACAGTATTTTGTTTTCAACATTTCATAGCTATTGGTTGCTAAAATTTGTTGAATGGAACTTGAAGCTCATTCGCTGTATCTGACGGTCTGTTACCCTATAGATGGAGAATAACGGACTGATGTTGGTGAAATTGGGCCTTAAGTCTTATAAATTCATACATAAAATAAAAATGTAAGAATACAAAGGCAAGGCATTCATTTTTCCTAGTAATTCCGGAACTAGTGTATTTATTTCAATCTTAAGTCATATAATGTTTCTTAAGCGCGCCACTAAAGATCCAACGCCGCAGTACGATTTTGTCAAATGCGATTGCTGTACGACTGTCGAAAATTGGATGACACACACGTGCATTTTGTATCACGAAAAGTAAAAGTAAAAATAAGAAACGTAGATGGTGGTGTAAAAATTGGTTTCTTAAACGGCATTCTTGCTCTTTATATAATTCAAAAAATTCTCTTAAAGAGTCCTCATTGTAAGCCATTTCTATAAATATGCGTAGTCAGAGAAATATTATTGAAATTTGCCAAATTTAAGTTGTTTTCACGTGTGTTTTGCTGTTTGCCGAACCAAAATCATGATGGAATCGCTCGTCGAAATACACGATCAAATAAAAAATAAACGATCCAACCAACAGTGTTGTACTGCTGCAGACTCACTCGTTTGTCTGCGGTCAAATCCTACCTACTTGATTAAATAATTAAAATACACGATTTGAAGGTAATTAAAACATGTTGACTCTAAAATGACTCGCGAGTTCGAGTCTTCGCTTCGGAAGTTAATTCCGAGCCATCGATTTTGTGCTGTGCGTTGTCTATATTACGGACCAGTGTCCCTATTCTTGACTTTAATAGAAAATCACACTCCCTCTCTTTTTCTACTCCCCCGGTTTTCTCAATAATGTATTCTTGAAGGGACTTGATAGAAATGAGAAAGCGTTGCCAGGTTTGATTAAGCGTGTTAAACCAATCAAAATATAATTTTGACAGTCAAAAACTAGTCAAAGGTTTTGGTCAAGATTTTTTCCTTATAATTTTATGTATGGAGCCGAAAAGCACATTATAAATGAACAAAAGGACAAAACAATTGAATTTCTCCAAGAGCAGGCCCAAATGCCCCAGGGAAAATTCAATCATAGTATCGGCCAGTTCTGCATCTACGAAGTTCAACACGGTAAGAATGGGGGCGGATGACAGGTGGGTATGTCTGCAATACTCGAGGCTAGACCTTATCTGGGTCGGGAAGTTATTTGAAGAAACGTACCTCTTGGCCCTAAGCAAATACCCTATCTTTTTCGCGGCAGCTACCGCTATTAAGGAGACGTGTTCGTGCCAGATCAAGTCTTCGGTGATCTGGACTCCAACCAGCCGAAATAAACGGTTCTTTGATGGAACTTTTCGTTATTCAAGGTACAGTACTTCGTTTTGGAAGCACTAAACTGTACCAGATTGTTGCGTCCCCAGTAGCGATAACCTCCAGGTCTCTCGTCATAGAGGAAGTCGCTCGCTGCTAGTCTTGTTTCATCCACCTCACCGGCAGAGATTGGCTTGATCGTATAGGGAAGGCGGTCGTTGATACGTGAGCCAAGACCGATCCCTGAGGAACACCCGCGCTAACATTAAAAGACATAAAAAGAACCCGTCAATTACGAGGAATAGCTTGCGGCCAGAGAAAAAGTCAGCCACCTATCTGCAAATTTTTCCTGGTTTCTAATCGCAAATGTGGAAGGGAAAACGTGCAGAAGAGAATTATGCGGAGTAAATTCGGGGAACTGGGTTTAGTTGATGCTACTTCATCTTTTAAACGTAATAAATTGTTCGATCAGTCAAGAGTCCAGAGGACATTTTTCAGTCGTCCGTACTCCATTAGCATACACATGGAATGACTGCGGCGCCAGGAGGAGCCGTTCTCACGATCACTCTCGAATTTCGGCGCATTCAAAGATACAGTATGATAAACTGCCGATAATGAGGTATATCTCAATCACCTTCCCGCGCCTGTTTGGCCTCAGACCGTTGCGGCCGGCGGGCGTCGAAAAGACTGGTAATTAAGGACTTTCTGTGATCGCCAGGGACAGTGGTAAACCTAATTGATACAATTCCACGGACCAGCGGTGATGATGATCATAGGCGTGGCGTTGATTGGTAATCCGGGCTGCTTTTATTCACATCATATTACAGACTACAATGCATTCAACTTGAATATAGGCAACCACCTAGTGATCCGCGGAGTGGCGAGAGTCAGGGCAGCTGAGCCTTTCTGAATCCTGTCAAGGGTCACACTGCCATCTTAGTCGAATTGCAAAGGGAGGATCCCGTCCTTCTTCAACCGCAAATTTAGTGTGGCGTACCGACGAGGGCTGAGTGGACCTAAGGAAACCGGAAGGTCTTCGAAGGAAGTGGGCAGATCTGGTACAGAAATGGCTCGGTTACTGAAGAGGGCCCTGGCGCCTCTCGGGGGATGCACCACTAGATTGCGTATCTCACGCTTTAGAGGGGGGCTTAGCAGAAGAATAACAATGTAGTAGCGAGGCATTCGGTATCGTTAGTGTGAGTACCGGAGCATGCTGGGACGAATGGCCATGATATGTCATACACTCTTGCGAAAGCCGGATCAGCGAGCAAGCTTGATGGTCTTGAGCCAGCCCTAGGGGTGCCCGCGCAAAGAATCACGAGGAAAATGGACAAGTGGATCGGTAGACAACACTCTCAGAAATGGAGAAGCATCTCTAGACATCTCCGTCAAGCAGTCCCAGTTTTAAGGATGGATGCTTTTGCTTATCTTTTTATGGAGCTAAGCCCAGGTTGTTGGTGGTACTGTTGTCTGGCCATAACACGATGAGGCGCCACGTGCATGTGTTGAGGATGGCTGAGGATCCCATGTGTGAGCGCTGCTGGGTAGAGGAAGAGTCCTCGGTGCAGGTTATGTGACGCTGCGAGGCACTGAACTACTACAGGCAGACTATTCTGGGGTCCAACACTTTTGATCCCCAGAATGTTAAGGAGCTGGGTCTCAGGGTTCTACGCAACTTTGCTAGAAGGGCAGAGCTCGAGGCTTAGAAAATGTTGGGATGCATAAGGGCCCGTTTATGCTGCC